AGTATTATTCCTGGATGTTCATTATGTGGATTAACATCAAGTAATGAAATAAGATCAGCTCCAACATAATCATCATCAAGATCATCATCACCGTCATCATCACGTGCAAGTAAATTATTTACAGCCATATTAACATCTAAATTCTAATTAGCAAAAAAAAAGAAAATAATCGTACAATTATTTTTTTTTACTATTAACTTACAGTTCGTTGTAATTCTCGTAGAATAATATTTCGTGATTTTCCTTGTAGAACAACTTGAACTTGTTCAATTAATTCTTCTGGTACATTCGATGCTGGTATTAACGGTCTTGAACCAAAAATAATTCCTGTTCTTCCACGTGCTGTTCGAATGACATGATGTCGTTGTCGACTAAATGGATGACCAGTTTGTAAATGTGGTAATATATCTATTTGTCCATTTGTATTATTAGTTGCAGCTGCAGCTGCTACGGCTGCAGCAGCAATAGATGAATTTGATGATGATAATATAAGATTTTCAAAATTTGGTCGATGAATTGCATGACGAGATTGTGGACGAATTGTTTGAGATGTTACATGTTTTGCTTTAGGTTTCGATATTTCTGTTGGATTCGTTTCAATTTTATCAGCATGTATACGAAATGATACTCGACAAATTCGTCCATCTTCTAGTAAAAATGCGATATGTCTTGATGAAACGACTGCTTGTTGTACAACAAGATTTGTAAATGGAGCAAATACATTAGGAGATATACAACCATTTGTTGTTATTTGATCTGATATATCCTGAAGTCTATAAAAATTAGAATAAAGAATTATCATAAATTGATAAAAAAAAAAGACAAAAACTTACTTCGCTTCAAAATTTTGTTCTGTTATAGGTGATTGTTGAATGAATACATGTGTAGAATATTCCATTAAATAAAAAAAACACAAATTTATCTAGAATAAAAATAATCACGTTTATTTTTATTTTATCGAGAATCGAGATTATTAAAAACAATTTGTATAATAATTTAAATAGTAAAATCAAGTTCAAAATCATGTGAAGCAAACATTTCATCATTGTTTTCAGTAAATAATGTAAATGAACCACGTTCATGAGTTGTCATTGATGAAATACCATTTTCAGGAAACTAAAAAATAAATGAAGCTCATATTGTTCAGAATAAACTATTTTTTTGTACCTGTTCATCGATTGTTGTTTGAATTTTTGTTATTGTTTTTGTAACTACTGTTTTTTTAGTATTGTTTTTCTCTGCCTAATATACAAATATAAATGGTAAAAAAAAAATGAATTTAATACATTCATACTAATAAACGTTGTTCTGCAGCTTTCTTTTTTGCTTCTGCTGCTTCTTCTTCGGCTACACGTTGTGAATGTAGTTCACGAATTAGTTCTTCTTTAGTTTGTGCAGCCTAGTAATAGAATAATTAATTATTCAGAAATATAATTTAGAGGTATATTTATACTCTTGCAACGAGTACGGGTGCACATCGACGACGTGTAAAAGGATCAGGTTTAGCATTTTTGTTTTCTTGAGCTTCTCGCTAGAATATATATTGCAAAATATTCATAATAAATTTGAAATATTTTCACTTACAAGTAATGCCATTTCGATATTTGCTTGCGTACTTTTTCGATTTCGTTGATTGATTTCACTGAAATTATTCGTAATGCAAAAATTAAACAAATATAAAAAATTATTTTCACTTACGCCAGAGCTGAAATATTTTGCGAGCGATTTCGATCTAATTCCTTAGCTCGTTGTTCCATGTCCTCTAATTTTTTTCTTAATTCTTTTTCTCTTACACTATCATTTTCATCTTTTGCCATATCCTGTAAAGATTAAAAATTATTGATATAATATATTAATCTTTTTTTTAAACGTACTATTTCTTTGAGTAATTCATTTTTTGACATAGCATAATTAATAGGTGCTTTTCGAAATCGATTTTTTTCTTCAACGATTTTAGTTATTTCATTATTATTATATACATAATGTTTGCATTTATCAATTGCTTTTATTTTATTTTCTACATCTTCTAATGTTGGTAATGAAATACTCTAAAATAGTTCATTATTTAAATCCAAAAAACAAAAGACACTCGACTATTATTATTATTCTTACTTGTTTGATTGTTGTTTCACGCCAACGTTTAAATTCTGCATCAGATATTTCACTGTTTGATACAAATTCAAGACGGAATACACGTTCATTATGTCCATGTCTAGGCAAATAAATAGAAAAAATTCAATTACAAAAAAGTAAAATTATTTCCTATACTTTAAACGAAGACCTTTATTTGTACGTGTAGCACCAAGATTATATATTTTTCCTGTTTCAACAACATCACGTATTTCACAAACCTTTGAAGAAAAAAAAGAAAAAAATTCTTACGTAATAAATTTCAAATATTCTTACTCGATAGACAGGTGAACCATTATTTTGTCCAATATTAATTCTAACAAATGCACCTTTAGCTACATTAGAAAAAAATGGCGCATGACACCATCTATATAAAATTAATAAGAATTTTTAATTCCATATATAGAATAGAATGTACTTTTCCATTCGAAAACGAGATAAAACCATAGATTTTAGTTGAGATTTAGAAGTTATTGGAGTACATTTTTTACGTTTAGATTCTTGTTGATCTTTTGAATGCTTGTTTCGTTCATCCGGCGATCTAAAAGAAAAATAATAGAATTCTATGATTTATTTATTGATTTTATTCTTACCGAGATCGTCGACGACGAGTACTTCTATTATTATTATTATTATTATTATTGTCATCATCATCATCATCACTTTCAGAACTTGATGTTTGATAAACATCTGCTACTAACAATTTTTTTCCATTTTCACCTTTTTTAGATGATTTTTCTTGAATTTCATCATCGCTCGATGAAAGGTCACCGGGTTTCCGAAGTGTTTTCTTTGTTTTTTCATCTAAAATTAATACAATTACGAAAATTTATACCAAATTACTAATTTTATTTACCTTGTTTTTTCCTTCTTTCTTCAACTAAAGTTTGAAGTGTTTTACTATGTTGTGTTTCTTTTTGTTTGGAAGCGTTAACTTGTTTCCGATGATTAGATGATAAACGATTATCATCTTCATCATCTTCTGCATAGATATCATTATCTAATAATGTTGATGTTGATTTCGGTTTTGTTTCATTATCAGTATCATCATCACTTTTTAATTTCGATTCTTCAATCTTTGATTTAAGTTTCTTACTTATTTCTTCACTAAAAAAAATAAATATATCAAGAATTTTTAATTTTGAAATAGTTCAAATCATTTTCTATTACCGATGGTTTAAAATTTCACGTTGTTCATGTCTTTTTAATAATTCAGCTTCACGTTCACGTTCAGACAATTTACTTAACCATACGCGATCATCAGCATTACCACGATAGTCTTCATCATAACCATCAGCATAAATTTCTACAAACAAACTGAAATAATAAAAAATTATATGAAAATATTATTTTATACTTTTTGGACGTGATTGATCATTATCAGAATCTGAATTACTATTTCGTCGATGGCGTTTACGTTGATCAGTTTTACTCATTTTCAAAATTTCTACTGATGACAAAACCCAATATAAATATATAGTACTCGTTTTTTTTCCCCCTTGTTATTCTTCTTCTGATTCATATTCACCAAACCAATACTCCAATGAAATTATGATGGAGAGATGGCGCTGAAAAAATTAATTGTTTTCATTTTATTGGAAAAATAAATGTTCTAATTGATCAAATCAAACAATCATTGAATATTTTTAGAAATATCGTTAGATTTAGTTGATAAGTTGGATCATATTTAATACCTTTCACATAGAATGAACTATGATAAACTCAAGTTAAAAGTTATTTTGATATATAGAAAAATATTCTTTTAATAGAAAAATTCCTTAAATCCACAATTTAAAATATCAATTTGCATTGTTGTCTTAACTTTTTAAAAGAAGTTTTACATATGTTTTCAGACTATTTTGATGATGATCTTATATTTATAATTACGATTCAACGTATCTAAAGTTTTTCAGAGTCAACATTGATTCATAAAAAGTCTTGAATATTTAAATTACAACTGTTATTTGATAAATCCAGTTTTTTTTCCTCAAAAAATCAAAGTATTAATGTGCAGAAATACATAAAGTGTCTTACTTTTAATTGCTTCGACCATATAAATTATTTTATTATATAAAATCTGCATATTATGATCAGTTGTTTTAACCCTCATACGCCCACCTATAGGACGGCCACTTATTATCCACCTAGGGTCCGCATGGATCCCAAGCTAATAAGATAGATATAATACGCGTTTTAACTAGTATACTATGATAGCATTATGTGGGTATATAATTTGCCTCTTACAGACTTAGTAGCTTATAAAAGAGAAACTATATTTCGTTATTTTATCTTTTTTTTTAAAACATTTTCTTATAATCTGTTTTTATCCTAAAAATGTTGCGCTGCAAATCGTGCAAACAACTATGTGATGATCTGGACAACAGGGAGCATTGCAACTTGAACAGCGAGTAATAACCTTTCGATCACGCTCTCTTGGACAAAGATGACAACGTTGCTTGACAGTAGCTGTTGAAACAATAGTTGGTTGTGAAGTAGTTATTGTTAGTCTAATTGCCTGCATAGCCATTCGAACGTTCTTTCGAAGTGGCTGCGGTTGATATGGTCATCGATCCAAATGCGATTGAACAAGATCATGACCTAATTCCATTAGAAATAGATGTCGACGGTAGTTTTCTTTTCATTCCATTGAGAATTTTTGGTTGTCCATACTACAAAAGTAGCAAGAGCACCAACATCAAGTATGTTGAAAAAGAAAGTCATTGATATGCTTTACAATTTATTATATAGCTATAGAATACTCTCGTATGTGCGGACAAATGTATAAACTATGAATAGAAAAAATTTATAATCAAATAATAAGCAGAAACTGATGTTATATTATGGGGTCCGGTTGGACCTTAGGTTGGCAAAAAGCGTATATATGTACTTCAAGGTAATTTATCTTATAGACGACTAAAAGAGATAAGCGAATGCTTTCTATGGTATACTCTACTACTCTTCACTAGAGCATATCTAGAGTGGTGTAATATGATCTGCGATCGTATATGTAAAACATTAGAATGAAACTAGTTGGGGTCCGCGTAGACCCCAGGTGGGCGCTTCAGGGTTAAACATTGAATATTCTACTTGCAAAATGATTCCTTATGGAACAGACGAGAAAAATGTTATAGAAATATTTTGAGTTACATTCACTAAGCTGATAAAAAGAGCTAATTTTTAATAGAAAAAAAATTAATCCCTCCTAAAAGAGTTTAATCCTACAAAATTAAATCAATTAATCTATTAAAAATCATCGAACATATTGCTTTGAATTAAATTTGACTAATACAAAAAAAAAAGCTATAATTTTTCATGGTACAAAAGAAACAAAAAGTATCATTGTACAAGAAAATATTGAACATTAACCTTGAACTATCAATTTAAAATGTAACACATGTCACATATGCAAGATTAATATGTTACAATAGAACCGTACGTTCATTGTTATGAAGTTATACTAGGATCTTTTATAATAAGACATTATACAATAAAGTGACCTCCTACTAGAGCAGTTGCATTTTAACGGTAGAAACAAAAGAAAAAAAAATTCAATTAACTTTGTTAATACATTCTACTCGGTGAAATTCCGTCCTTCAAATGACTCTTGTTGCCGATTGTGTCATTCTTTCTAGTGTTCATCATATATATTCCTTATACCATATCTTGTACACACCTGCTCTTTTTTGCTATTGATATTCTTAAGCAGCAATAAGCCTTAAAATATTGCAATAAATACTTCAAAGCTTAAGAAAATAATTTCTAAAAATTTTATATTGTACAAAATGTTATTTCACACATAAATAATACTATCAGACTGATCTTGTTAACTAACAATTAAACAAAAGAATAATTTAATGATCTTTTTTTTTTTGATTGACTTTAGAACGATCTAACAACCGTTATAACAATTCTTATGTCGACATGGTATATTGTCATTCATTCCGAAAGAGAAAATGTTACGTTATATGGCTCAATAGGTAAATACATTTGTATGTAATTAGGCGAAAATTACTCAAGCAATTCGAGTACATCGTTACTCAAATAGAAAAAAGACTGACATATTGTATTACACTAAAGAGTAAATGAATGTACATTTGCTAATCGCTAGCATATTAACAATTTCTTAATGAATTACTCTGCTGATTATTCAATTTTATTTAGTATCTATTATATAACGTTTTTTTTTCTTTATTAAAAAAAAAGAACTGCTGATGATGATGATGATAATAATAATAGAACAAAAAGAAACATAACCACAAGTGCAATAAACATAAAGAAAAACCGCAAGCGTGCAATTTGTTTTACATATGAATTCAACTAGAACGTTGTTCCATATGTATTACAAGCACTCAAGCCAAAGAAGAAGAAGAAGAAAAAGAAAAGAGAACAAAACAAATGACTAATAATAATTTGATGTTATGATTTTTTTTTAATCTGAAGACAGATACACATAACACAACACAATATCATCATTCTCAAAAGAAGAATATGTTTTTTTTTGTTTTGTTTTGAGCAACAGAAGACAAAAAAGTAAAGAACAAGAGATTCATATTTGAATGTATTCTATTCTAACAAGTAATCTAAACTATATACACACACAAACACACACACAGAAAAAGAAAACATAAGATGAATTAGAAAATAGCTATGAGAAAATAAGCAAGATGACATGAATAATAGACACATCAAAACAACAAATACACACGTACATGAAATATCGCCTATTTCTCTTTAACTAATTGAAAAAAGTTTCATTTTTTTTTTCTTTTAATTTTTTATGCTTTAACAACTTTTGTTGTTGTTGTTCCTGTACGTTTAACAAACATACGACGATCATAATGAGCCCAAACCGTTCTAATAAAAATTATTATTAAAGTAAAAAAATTCAATATTTCTTTGTAAAAGATCTTACCGATAAAGAAAACCGGCAAGAATAGCTCCAACAAGTGGACCAATCCAATAAACAAAATGATTATGCCATTGAGTAGCAAAAATAGCTGGACCAAGTGAACGAGCCGGATTAAGTGAACCACCGGTATATGCTCCACTAAATATTAATTAAAAAAATTTTAAATGAATTTTTTTATTATCTTTCATTTTGTTACTTACACAGCAAGAATATTAACAGCTAATGTAAATCCAATAAGAATTGGTGCAAGACCTGTTTTTGATTTTGTATCAAGTGCAACCATAAGAATAACAGTAACAAGTACAAATGTTACAATCAATTCAATTGCAATACCCTTAAATTAATATTCAATGTTTCAAATCATTTCAATTTTTTTTTGCAAAATACATACTTGCCAAATTCCAACACTCTCAGCTGGTTGATACGATATGCCATTAACTGTTGTTAAATTGTAAGCAGGATATTCTTTTAATAGTGTAGCTCCACCAGCACATTTTTGATAAACACGATCTACAAGTAATAAACGTAAAATTCCACCAGCAGCAATACCTATAAAAATATTTCATTGAATTTTTCATTTCAAAACAAAACAAAATAAATTTTACCTCCTAAGAGTTGCATGCCAACATAAAGTATAGCCATTACTGCTTGCATTTCACCAGCAATTAAAACACCAATTGTAACTGCTGGATTAAAATGAACACCTGATATATGTCCAAAACTAGCAGCAAGAACCATTAATGCAAGACCAAATGATAATGCAGCAGCAATAACACCACCTTCGGAACATGCTCCCCACATACCAATAAGAACAAATAATGCTGTACCAATCTAAAATTATAAAATTCAAAGTTAAATATTTTCATTATATTTTTAACTTACAAGTTCAACCAATAATGGACGAATAACTTGAATAAATTTATTTTTATCCTCGGGTACAACATCAACATCAACATTTCTAAATAGAAAACAATGATTAGTATTTTTTTGTTTTAAATAATGAAACCAAATATAGCTTATCGTACAATGATAAATTCAATTTTCCGGAGGGATATCATATTCTTTTTCTCATTTCTTAGATTTCCTACTTACAATACTTCAGTTTCATAACCGTTGGATACATATTTGATTGATGACATATTAGAATGATGAAGGCAATGTGATGAATACTGAAATGAACAATCTATCTATCTATCTGTCTGTATATATATATATATACACAGCTAATGAATGAGCCTTGTTATCTTATCAAAAACAAAGACATGCGATTGTTTGTCTAGATGTGTTTTGCTTTATCATATTACAATTATGTGTGAAATTCTTCACTTTTATATATATATATATTTGACTTCCTTAACTACATCCGATATGCAAATCAAAAAAAATTAATATTATAGTGTTAATTAGAAAAATTTATTTGCGCATAGCGGGCGATCAGAAAAAGGCAGAAGGTATAAAAACAAAAGGCTGACACCAGTAATCTGATGCATACATATGGTGCTCACTTACTTTCGAACAACGGTTGTATGAGTATCAACCGGTACTGTTGTTGAAGTAACAGGATTTGAAAGATTAACTTCTTCGGATGAAGTTAATATTGGTTGGCGTTCATTAAGTTGAAGTTCGGTAGCCATAGAGTCTTTTCTTTATTTTTTAATTTAAATTTATGTTAGAAAAAAAAATCTTGTCTATAGACAAAAAGAAAGAAGATGAAAAAAAGGAAATGCCGTTTATATATGTCCGCTTTGCGGTTGATAATAGTTAGTAAAAAAAAAAAGAAAGAAGCAAAAGTCGACGACGATGATGGCGACCAAAAGATATATTAAGAAATGAAGGAGAGAACGCGCGATAAAATTTTCTGCGGACAACTACTTTCTTTTGTGTTTCATTGACTAGAGTAACCACTATATGTGGTATGCGGTAGAAAGAAGATAGGAAGAAGAGAGACATATAGAGAGAGAGGGAGAAGCAAAGGCACAGAGAGAGAGAAAAAACGGGAAAGAAACGAGCAGACAGCAAAGAGAAAGGATAATTAGCGGACACATCTAAAAAAAGACGAGAGAGAAAAAGAAACAGAAAGAGAGGTGAACTCGGTTGGGACGACACTCCAATCAGGAATTAGTGCGATGGGCCTCATTACAACAGGTTTTCATCCTTCTATTCTTTCCCTGTCTGTCTCTCTCTCTCTTCTTACTTTCGTGCGCTTCCGCCTCACCGCTCCCGTTTGTACACAGATTCACACGTTCGGTCAAGATGATGATGATGATGATGATGATAAAAGAGAAAGAAAGTATAGAGTGTCGAACTCAATCTCAACATTTTCTTTTTTCAAAATGTAACTATAACAACTAGTTATATTCTAGTTTGTCTTCCTGTTTTCTTTCTAAGATGAGAAAAAAAGAAAACCGTACGTAATGAACTGTCAACCATATAAGATGGTGATTGTCAAAAATCGTTAATAGTTATATTTATCGACATATTTGGCATAAAGCCAACATGTCCAAACGAATGACAGACAATATACAAATGGATCGAGAAAAGAAAATCTCTTTAAATAAAACATCTGCTTAGTAATTATGATTGGAATCTTAATATAAAAATAGAATTTAGGCATTATAATAAATGATCAATTGATTGTCTAACTGACCAGATAATCATTATTATCATCATATCTTCGTTCTGTTATTCTTTTGAACGTATTAAAGATATATATGTATAGACAATCTTTCTTATTCATTGAGGTCAACATCTCATTTTTTTTCTTGCTTTTAAGCACATACAGACAAATATTGACATTGTTGTTTTTTGCTCTATATCAATTGTGATTATCATGAATGAAGGATGACCGATGGCAGTATCTGCATTAATTGCCAAAAGTATAAACTCAGCCGATAGTTAAATTGATATAAATGCTCTTTATCTTCGATTCCTGTTGTGAATTAATCTTTAATAATTATTTCCTTAACAATTATGTTTTCTATTCTTCTATCCCATCTGTGCAAAAAATTTCTTCGATATGTATAGATTTATATAAATATGTACTTTTTTTTTTATATGTAGCTTACAATAGACTTTATCAAAACATAATCCATGATCGATGGTAGTAATATATATTTTCTTTTTAGTTTAGTGCTATGTCATCCATCTGTCAATTTTTTTCTTTGATAATGCCTCAATGGTATGATATATTCTAAGAATAACTAATCGTAAGAAGCAAAGCAAAAGAACAACAACAACTTTCCCACCCACTGATATTGCATTTTTATATCTCTAAGGGGAATCTATTCTAATGATGATGATCATGCCTTTAGTTTTTGTTTTATTTCGTTCTGCAACGTGCTCTTGTATAAATCATAAAAAATGACCTTCCCTTAGCAGGTTTTTACTTATGTATATACGATAAAAAAAGAAATCTCTAATCACGTAAATTAACTTACTTGACAATATTTGTTTTCTTAATGAATGCAATTTCATCAGGCGATGTGGCCAAAAGATCTTTATGTTCGTTCATTTCTCGTTCCATTTATTTTGACAATAGAAGGATCTCTCTAGTAAAATAAATATGGATGAAATTGAGAGAAATGAGATGATGATGAAAGACGAGCTGTTTGTATCTTTTAAGTGGCTGGAAAACAACAGCTGGCATTGATGAGGAGAAAAAGAAGGAAGAAAGTGATGTCGTCTGTTGATCAAGGACTATCAAATTTGAAGATCACTTATATTATACCCAGTTAGATATACACATATATATTTAACTAAAGAAATCTTATCAATACATACTTGATTAACTGATATGAATCTTCGTAGATATATTTCTTCTAAAATGAAACTGACATTGTAAAGAAGCACACGTACACGTTTATGTGATAAAAATAGAAGAAAAAAAAATACAATACTGTATTGTCTTTCTCTCGCGTCTATTAAATGAACAGAAGCAAGAAGCTATATATGCAGATCCTCGTGACACCGTTATTCTACCAACGAAATTATTCTTCTCTTTCGTTTATCCAATCAACGAATAAATATATATAGCTATATGAATGAAAAGGGCACACAACGAACGAGCTCAATAACTAAACAAACACGTTTTCGTTCAAAAATATCGCTCAAATATACATGTGCATGCTTGTCGACGCCTTTAGACTACTATTGTTGACCTATTATTCTCGTTCGAGGCCAAAGGAAACGAAAGAAAGAAACAAAAGGAAATTGCTCTTGGATATGTATATATATATACATGTGAACAATGAACAACGTATGTATGTATGTATATATGTATGTTCGTTCGTTGGCATATATTGTTTTAAATATGAAAAAGAATTGACCAGATGTTGATTGATCACATATTCATTGAAACCAATGATTCATAAGATTATTTTATTTTGATATAAATGAGTAAGAAAGTAAAAAAATAGTTACGCATGATTGATCGCATATAAAACAAGTGGAAAGAAAAACAGATATGTGCATACATTAAATATGTTTTTAACAGTGACTCTCTTTGTAGTTTGCCTTTCATCAACGATAGCTAGTAGTAGTGGTAGTTATTCTACATCATGTACATGTACACAAGCTTCAGTAAATGGTACATTTTGTTGGACATGGACATGTCAAACAAATCAAGTAACAAAATGTTTTGCTGGAGATGCAACAGTTGAATTATCGAAAACTAAACAACGTAAAACAATGAGAAATTTAAATATAGGAGATGAAATACTTGTTAATATTAATGAACAAGGTAAACGTATATATGAACCTATTTATGGTTTTATTCATGCAAATCATAATGGAATATATGATTATTTAAAAATAACAGTAGAAAATAATTTTCAACAACAACCATTAATAATTTCAAGTAATCATTTAATTTTTCGTTTTAATCAAACAAAACCTTGTTTTGCTGGACATTTAAAAATTGATGATCAATTACAAGTCATATCTAATGATGGAATAAGTCAAGCTGGATCTATTGTAGATATACGCTTGATTAAAAGTCAAGGTTTTTATGCACCATTGACACACAGTGGGAAATTAATAGTCGATGGTATTTTGGTATCAAACTATGCAGTTGTAGCTAATCATCAACTTGCTCATTTAGTAATACAACCATATCGATGGTGGATTTCTATTCTAGGTTCATCATCATATTCAGAAAATATTCAGTGTTATTTTCAATTTCTATATACTTTCGTAGAAAAAATCAATAAATGGTTATTTTCAATAGATTTATATGATGGACATATTTTTATTTCAAGTTTATAAAAACATTTTTTTATTCCAGAAATAAATTTTATTTTGCATTTAATTGATTTATTATATCTTTTAGAGAGAAAAAAACATACATTTCTATAGATATTATATATATAAAGATAGAGCATATTGTCGACCTTTGACTGCAAGGAGTAATGTAGAAGAAAACGTATGAAATATCTCTTGTGTACTCGTATCAGACTGGCACATAAGTACACTATTGTCTGATAAAAATCAATGTCTTTTTCTGTTATATCTTGTTTTTAATAGCTTTCCGAACTCAACACCTACGTCAAATAGCATAAATATCAATAGAATGCAAATCATCCTTGGCCTTTTCTTTTCGACGCAAACAAATCAAAAGGTGTAATTAGGCTACAATGACGTATATGAAATATTACTTTTTTTTTGTCTTTAAGCAAACGTTTATAAGTAATTCGTTCTCTTATTATTCATAACAAATGTATATTATCCAATTAATGTGTAAGATCTAACTATAGATAGATATATATAAAGGGAAAATTTTGAGAAGAACTTTTGTCTCTTTTGACCCAATCTAAATTATACTTGTTGATCCGATTGACACGAAACACATTTAAGTATATAGTCTATAAAAATAAATGACAGACTACGTCAACTGAGTTTCCATTGAGAGCAAGGACTGCAAATAAACAAGATTATACATTAGGAAAATAATGCTTTATCTTAATCGACCGTAATAATAAGGACATAACTGATCGTCTATATCTGGCAGCGATATGAGTATTGTTTTATCGATATCTCTCATTGTAGAAATTCAATTATATTAAACATTAAAGAGATATATTATTTCTAATTTTTGTTTTCCAACTTGTTAATATAGGGAATTCAAATAAATAAGTTGGAATAGAATATAATTTCGTCTATAACAAAGATCAGTATATTATATTTGCATTCATTGTGAAAGAAGGTAGACTTTATTGAGGAAGATGTTCGGCAACAAATAAATAAGAATTGTGTTTTAACATTCATTTACTATTATTATAATCATTCTCATGCTAATAATAATATAAAAATAAATCCTATGCTTTGAGTGTCTCAATACCTATCTTATTAAACAGAGTTTTTTTCGAATAAAATGGATATGAAAAAAACGATTGCTCATCTGGTAAATCATCTACCGATGAGATAATCGTCAATTAAACAAAAATGTACTTGAAGAAGTAAGTGATTGATTACGATGGTAATATTCTTATATAAATGCTTTTTTTGCTATCACATCCTTTCTTTTCATTACAAAACTTTGTAAGATTGAGAAGTATTTGTTAAAAATCGTCAACTATTATCATCAAAATAAGGAAATGGCGAATTTAAATGTAAATAGTATAATCATGTTTCTGTTTATATTATGCCTTTGTGGAAGTACAATTCTGCCATATATATAAATCAAGTTACATTCGATAGTTTTATGAATTAGAAAATATCAAAGTCCAAGGCAGAACAGTTCTGTGGTAATAGTTTTATATTTGAATGGTGGTATGTCGGAGCAATTTGGCGGCAAATCTAAATAAGTATTTATATATAAAAACAACTGGAAAGATTATAGGTATTTGATTTTAAAAATATATATATCACATGTTATTATTATTCACCAAGGAAGTAAAAGAACATTTTTGTTTTTTTCCTTGTAAATGTGAATCACTTGAGCAAGTATTATTTTCCATATACATAATTTAAGTTTCCAACGGCATCCAAAGTTTTTCTTATTTAAGATCTAAACTATTCTCTCCCTCAATAGTTTCTAGAGGGTTTTTTTCTATATCCGATCATCGATATATAAATTCAATAAAAAACATTTGCTCGCAAGTCTTAGAAACTACGATTAAAATATTTTGTTTTTACCCAAAAAAACGACATTTTTCTTCAGCGACATCTTAATTTCAATCTACTTATTGGATATAATCATTAGTCAAATAAACGTAGATACGTATTAATCGTTCGTTGCTATTTTTTCCAGTGTGACAAATCTCTAATTCATCCTAAATATAATTCCACATTTATGGAAACCGAACATGAACAAACAAGTGTATCGGTCAGTGATAATATAGATAAAAATAATTTGAGTTGTACATCTCACGGTAAAATAATTAATAAAAATATTATTTATATTCTTTTAAATTATTCATTTAGACATTGATCTTGATCAACAATCACAACAACAACGTCTAATAGAAAATGAAGTAAATCTCTACATGATTTATTTTGTTTACTATTAAAATACCCATTTCTTTTTAAGGTCAAAGAAAATCAACCATTAATAAGTGCGAAAATTCCAACAACAGAATTACAACATGAATATGCATCAGATGATAAAATTTATCAAGAAAAACTTTTAGTAAGAATATTTTTTTTGAAAAATAAACTTCAATATTTTATTTATTTTCATAGGAATTAATAAAAAAATATAAATATATTCGACGTACAAGACGTGATGGAAATTGTTTTTATCGTGCATTTGCATTTGGTTATCTTGAAAGAAATCTCAATAATGATAGTGAATTAGAAAGATTTCGTGAATTAACAAATAAATTAACTGAGCAACTTATTAAATTAGGATATTCAGAATTTACAGTTGAAGATGTTAGAGATGTTGTCATTGAAATAATTGATAATATACGTAAAAATCCTAATGAAACAAATTTAATTGAATGTTTTTGCTCAGAAAATTATTCAGATTATTTTGTTGCTTATTTACGGTAATGAATAAATAATTAATATTCGACAAAAAAAACAATTCTTTCTATAATAGATTATTTACATCAGCATATCTTCAAATGAATCGTGAATTTTTTGAAAATTTCATTGAAGATGGAAGACCTATGAAACAATTTTGTAATACTGTATGTTTATTTTAAGCTAATTTCTTATTTATTTTTATTTTTTTGTAAATAGGAAGTTGAACCAATGACACGTGAATCTGATAATATCCATATAATAGCTTTAACTAAAGCAGCTGTTGTTCCCCTACGAGTTATTTACATGGATCGAAGTCAACAATCAACATTAACTATACATGATTTTTCAGCTAACGATGAAGAAATAACTGAAACATTTCAACCGATGATTACAGTACTCTATCGACCGGGCCATTATGATCTTTTATATGAAAATTAATGCTTAATTTATAAAATTAAAAGACATTCCGGTGATCTATTTGTTAATCTATATATTGTTTTCTTATACGAATGAAAAAAATTCGTTTGAAATAAACACATGATTACTATTCTTCTTTCATATTTGAATTTATTTCAAATGACAATTATATCTTTATATTTTTTTTTGTTTTACAATCATAGAAAAGTTGTTATATGAGTATTCAAATGCATATAAAACAAATGAATATGTATGAAGACAAGTCATTCATGCGTAACTATGTAATATGAAGAAAAAAATGCATAAAAACGCGCTAATAGTTATAAATGGGTATAAGAAGAGTCATTTTTTCCTTCTTGTGTATGATATAAATGAATGAGAGAAAACAATTTTCGATCAAAGTCATGATTGTCCATATAACTTAAGCGAATGTATGATGATATGCAGAAAAAAAAATATATATTGTTTTGATTTTATATCGTATAAGATAGGCGAGAAAAAGCTATGAAAAAAAGAAAAAAATGCTTGACGGTCACACTTCACTGCGCTAGTTAGTAGAAGGAAACAAAGAGAGAGAGAGAAAGTGAGAGAGAGAGGGAGAGAGAGAAAGTGAGAGAGAGAGGGAGAGAGAGAGAGAAGGCAAACGTTTTTATTTCTCATAAGTATATCATCATATTACATTCTATATCCTCAATACAATTACAACTATTTGTTTGGTGCAGACACAAAACATGACTAGATTATCACTTGCAATTGTTGTTGCAGTATGTATAGTATCGATTGTTGGTATTAATGGCGAAAAGAATTTGAAAAAGAGAGATATTCAGATTGAATTTGGAAAAGTACCAACTAGTGATGTTATACAATGGTTATGTGCTGGTAATCCATTTGCTTCTCTCATCTCTATGTGCAATTCTTATACAGCAACATCAACAACCAAAGCACCTTTAACATCTAGCACTGCAGCACCCCAGAGTTCAAGTGGTCCTACACAACCAAGTACGGCCGCTCAAGTTAGCACTGATGCAACATCAGCAACACCACTTCAAAATGCTCATTGGTGTGGTTTCTCAAATGGTACGTATATTCCACTTGGCTATTCATTTATGTATACAGCATGCGACTTATGTCAATGCACACAATCACATGTTATTCGTTGTACTAAACTTCAATGCATGAATACATACTGTATCGATGATTCTACTCCAAGTGTTCGATCAGGTCAATGTTGTTCACAATGTGCATATGATACCAATTCAACACAATGTGTACAAAACGGTGTACCTATTCCACATGGTTAGTTTTGAATTTATTTCAATAGGATAGATAATTATTTTTATTTTATTATATATTTATTATAGGCGCAGTTGTTAAAAGTACATCGGATAATATTCTTTGTTGGTGTCAATTAGGAACCATCGAATGTCGTAAAAGTTTAACATCAGCTTTTTCATCATTAGATTTATGGGGTCAAGGTACAGCTATATACATCGTTGTTATTATTTTATGCGTATTTTTAATCTTTGGAACATTACTCTGTGGTGGATGTTCACTTCTTTATTATTATTATTATTATTATTATAATCAACAATCAGGTGAACAAGCTTATTGGAATAATGCTGGTTGGCAACCAATGGGTGAAGGAGAACAAGTTGTTGATGGTGATGCAGAAAAAAAACAAGCTGAAGCTGAAGGTGAACAAAATCAATATGAACAAAATTATCCAACTGGTCAATCAGAAGAATATGTTCCACCACCATATGCACTTTACAATGGTGCTTATGAAACTTCACCAGCTGATAAAGATGCAAAATATATCTAAATAGAATTTATGCATTACTGAATTCATACAAGACAATCAAATATAAAAGAAAAAACTTCATTCGTTCTTTCTTTCATTTTATTTTTTAATTTTTTTCCTCATTTTTCTTTTTCTTCATCAAAGCATATTGATATCTGTGATAAGGATAATAATCATTGTATATAGCTAGATATTCATTATTTACTTCATATTCATTATTTTTCTATTCAATAATCATTTTCAACAGTTTAAGTTAATATTTCAAGAAATAAAAGTTAAGAAAATCTATATATTTTTTTATTGAAAAATAAAGTTAATAACTATACAAGAGCTATATTGATGATGTATTTTTAATACTTAAGCATACTAGTAATAAATTGATTTAGTAACAAATTAAAAATCAATCGCAATACACCTAGCTCATGATATATATATACATAATACGTGAGAGATTGTCTATTTATAGATTAGAGAAAGTCAAGTCGTACTATTATGTAATGAGTTACTTTACATAGTCATTAGGATGTATTTACGGATAGCATATAGTATATATATATAAATTGAAATACAAATTGACTATATTGCTACGCAAGCATAGGTCATCTTCTGTTGATGTCAGGTTTTCAGTATATGAGAAAGAAATTCAAGTGTATTAATTCAATGAGCACATGTACAAGATGCGATCAATCAAAACAGTAACCATTATCTTACTTAAAATTTGTTGACGTATTGTTTTCTTTTTCTTTTTCGAATGAGAGTTCTTTTACAAGCTCTCGAGTAAAAATTACTTTAAGTAATACCTTGAATAAAATAACAAGTGGCATTATGGATTTATTGACATAATTATAAATCTTCAACTTGTTTGTTATTTATTTACATAGAAACATTTCCTAATAGATTTTACAAGGTGATTGAAAAAAACATTTATTATTCAACGTTTTTAATAGTACGGCGGCATCTATTACTTGCTATACAATAGTTGTAAAGAGGCAGCTACTAGACAACAAGACATAATGATAAGGAACACTTATGGTTAAGTTGACATGCGTGTTTAATCATTATTAAAGGTAAAACCATGTCGAATCTTCGAAGTACCGGCCATTTACCATTGAAAACAACAATGACAAATAAATGGAAAGCACAGTAATTGATCTTTATTATATTATTTTCTTTAATTAATTAATTATATTTTCTTCAGAGCACCAAGTAGTGAATTACTCGAACGACAAACTCGAGCATTAGAAGATAGTTTAAATAAACTAAAACTTGCGATGCACCCTGAGAAAACAAAATCTACGTATATATAGTTTTTATTTCTATTAAATAAATTTAATATCAACTGATTTCTAGAACTGAAACAAATGGTCCTATTTGGGATAGAGGTAAAAGCGGACCATTATCACAATATGCAAATCATGTTTTACGTGATGAACCAAAACGAGTATTTGATGTAAATAGAAAAAAAGTTTTATTTAGTAAGTTTCTAATACGAAACTAAATATCATTTCAGGCTAATAAACCAACAAAAGTTCGAATTTTAACTGATGAACCACCAGGTATAGTGTTGATTTATTTCATAAAACAATTTGATGGTTATTTCCTTAGCTCCAATTACTCGTCCATCTGTTGTTGCTACTTTACTATCTGCTAAACCAACTACAAATAATAAAATCATAAAATGTGGTCAATGTGAAAAAGATGAAGCAAAAATGGTAAAGAAATATTTTTCCGTAGACTAAAACTTATTTTAAATTTTTTCCTTCGAAGAAATGTCTTGAATGTGCAGAATGTTATTGTACTGGTTGTTTTGCACATTTTCATCTTCGTGGTGCTTTACAACGTCATCGTTGTGTTTCCTTAAATGAAAGTCGACCATCAACACCTCAGAAGAAAAAAGCACCGTAAATTTTTATAAAATACGTTTTTTTTACTCTTTCTATTTAAATATTCGATATTTAATTTTTTATTACAATTAATTATGAAATAAAATATCTAATATATAAATAAGAAGAGAAAAATTAATATTCATTGCCTACTTTATATTTATCATAGTGTTGGTGCAGATGTTATTTTTAAAAGTTTACGTGTTGCACAATCGAAAGATGATTTTCTTCAAAGATCTACAATGGGAACAGAAATATATGATTATAATGATGATGATATTATCGATGAAGAAGGTGATGGTGGAGAATTACTCAATGGTAATTATGATGAAAAAACGAGTGCAGCATCATTTCAACAGGCACTTATGCAATGGAGACAACAAGGTGATGGTGGAAAGAAAAAATCTCCAAAAAAGAATCAATCGAACAAGAAGAAGAAATCAACACATGAAGCTGCTGTTGATACTGTACAAGATTCAAATGGAAAATTAAATCAAGTAGCAATGCCAAATATTGAATTTAATTCATCAAAATTAACTTATGGAGAAAAACTTTTATTAAAAAAATATCGACGTTCAAATAAGAATAATGAAGAATTTTTCAATCAAAGAACAACTAAAGCAAAAACAACACCAAGAGATAAACCGAAGAAAATAGGACAAATTCAAGCTAATCATTCACTTGATATTCCAAATTTAAAAGATGCAAATATTGAAATTGAGGTATATTTGCATACGTAATTACCTATATAGAAGTTTTCTTTTTCTCTAGCCTATGTACGATGATTTATCAACAATGCGAACAAATGAAAGGTAATAATAATTCATTTTTACATTATTTTATATACATCTTACACGGAAAGGAAAGACTTGCTTATATGATGTGTTTAACTTTGTATAATTTTCTTCTCGATTCTAGCGCACGAACAATTACTACAGAACAAAATCATCAAAATGATAATTTCGATCAAGATGATGAAGAAGATGAAGAACTTTTACGTTTAAAGGAACAAGAACGACCTAAAAGTCGTATATCAATAAAACCAACACCACGTCCAAATAGTTCTGCAATGAGAAAAAATTCTGTATCATCAAGACCAAGTTCCGTTGCACTTTTTCAACATCCTTTGTATGTTAACTTCTATATTAAAATGAATATTTGACTTATTCTTTCATTGTATTATTATAGACCTTCATTGTTAGCAACAAAGCCTAGTGATGATCTTAAAGCAGTTATTGATCCTGAATCACGACCATCTTCTGCTGCTTTAAAAAAACCAGCTAAAATTGATTATCGACGTATATTTTTCAAAAACAATTTTAAATAAAATATAAATTTATTTTTTGTAGTTCCAACAATATGGAATCGAAATTGGAAACCTGAACAAAGTATGTCGGATGGAATCGATATGAAATCAATTAAAGTTGATCAAGATGCAATTGTTCAATTTGATTTAGCACTTAATGATTTACTTGATGAAACAAAAATAGAAGACGCTAGCCGAGCAGATAATTCAACTGATACAAGTCGTCCATCGACAGCAAGATTACCACCACCACCACCGTCACCATCACCAGCACCAATAAGTGCGCGTTCAAACAAGGAAAAACCAATTGATTCCTCAACAAGAACACCACGGACGTCAATAAACGTGCGTTCAGAGAAAACAAAATCAATTGATTCTACAACGCCAACACCAACACCTCAAACATCAATAAATGTACGTTCAAACAAAACAACACCAACTCCAACACCACAAACATCAATAAATGTACGTTCAAGCAAAGCAACACCAACTCCAACACCACAAACATCAATAAATGTACGTTCAGACAAAACAAAACCAATTGAATCACCATCACCAACACCAACACCAAGGACCCCAATAAGTTCACGTTCAAACAAAACAAAATCAATTGATTCTACAACACCAACACCAACACCACCAGACCCATTTAGTTCGCGTTCCGACAAAATAAAATCAATGGATTCTCCATCGGCAACACCACGTCAAAATTCTCTATTTAATTTATCAAATTCACCTCGTAAAATGGATTCATCATCATCAATGGAAGGAGGATTTTTTACAGATGTTAATCTACGAAAAAGCATTGCATCACCACCTACACCTACAATTGTTGAACGTTCAACATCAAATCGTTCTGCACGTTCATCTGCTGAACAACGTCCAGCTATACCTAATTTAATGACACTACGTAAAACTTCTATTGAAACATTATCACGCCCACCACCAAAACGTTCGATAACTATTGATGATACTCATAATCAAATCGATGATTATAGTCGACCAGGTTCATCAGTATCATCAGCTTCACTTCCTGTTTCAATGGTATCATCTAAACCTGATCTGATTACACGACCATCAGTTGACCGATATCCAAAAGTTAATGCACAACCTGCACCTCCACCACCACCACAAACTAAGAAAAAAATACGCGTCGAATTTCCTAAAAAATCTGCTCCACCAGTAATTCCTCCAATGGTTATTGAAGGTAAAAAAGTTGCATCAGCAAAAAATTCAGCACGTGATAGTGATGAACATTTTCAACAATCATTAAATTCAACTAGAAGTAAAATATCATCAGGTTTACAAAAATCACAAAATATATTAAAAAATAGTTCGACTAGTACAATGACATCAATTACACGTGATGAAAATGGTTTAAAAGATGAAAGTTTAACAATTACAGATGCATCTGGAACGAAAAATATAAATCGTCGATCAACGAATGTCGATCGAAAACCAACAAAATCAAGAGCAATGGAATTTACAATTAAAGATGGAATTAAATGGCAACAAGGATCATCTGAGTAAGAGAATGAAATAAATATCGATTCTCTAATCATATATTATATTTTAGATCAGTACCACATAAATCGATTTCTTCTTCTGCAGTTCGTCAATCTTCAAAAGCCAATACTGCACGACCATCAACGCCATCAAATCCAACAAATTCAAGTACATAAATTACCCACATTTCTAACTTATGTCACACTTCTATATTTTCTTTTAGAACTTGCAAATCAATTTAGTACATATGATGTTGATGATGGCCGATCATCACGTGCATATCAAGACGTTGATGATGAAGAATCATTTAATCAACTTCGCGAAGAACTTTGTTCAGAATGTTTGTATTTCTTTCGTATATTTTCATGCATTACTATGTTTATTTAGTGGGTATGACAAGTCCTGGTTGGGATGCAAGTTTAAGTGAACATGTATTGAAAAATCTTCGAAGTGCCGAAGTACCATTTAATGAAAAAGATTTACAAGATAATTTAGCAATGCTTGAAGTAAAATTACGGTAAGTTTTATTTCATCAAGAATATATTTAATAAAATATTTCTGATTTTTTTTCTTGTCTAGTGAAAGTGAATTAGTTCAACGATCACAGACAGATGATATTGATGCAACAGTACAAGAAGAAATTCGAAATTTATAAACATTCTTTTTTTATGGTACTGACCAGTGATCTTTATTTCACATACGCTAGTACAATGTGTGTTTATATTTTTTCTTTCTTTTTGATTTTCACTTAAGCGATTTATTTAATTGAATAAAAAAAAAGTATTAATCAAATGTAAAAAAACAAAATATATATTATGCTAGATCACAGTATACAATCTTGTGAGTCCCTATTGTCTCTGTGATATCAAAAACTATCGCGTTGAGAGCAGAGAATGAGTAAAAGTAATTCAAAGCGCTAATGTCTACTCGAATTACAAAGTCATATTCATATGTAATATTAAATTATTGTTTTAATAAGCAAATATTATGAATCTTTAAAAATCAATCAGACTTTATTATAGTTAAATATTTGTTGGCTACTTTCGTAAATCCATATTTTACCAAGTGGAGAACAACTTTTTTCTGCCTTCATTCAATTGCCTGCTACTTTCCAACAAAAAAATAAGGCAATGCAATACCATTACATCATTTTTTACGTTGTATTTCGTAGTATTTGTTTAAGATATAATCATATGTCCTGCTTTAGATTAATACCTGTTCGTCATTTGTTTCAACGTTCTTATTTTTCGACTGCATTGACTTCTTTCTATCAAATGGAATCTATACAAGAAAAAGCCAAAAAAGCTGATGAACGTATTCAACAATTAAAATCACTTATTTCTAATATCGGTACGAGTAAGTAAACTTTATTTTACTATAGTTTACTTGAATGTTTCCTTATCAAATAGGACAACTCGACCCAGAAGTATATTATAACGTACTTCAAGAAGAAAATAAACGATTAAAAAGTCGAGTACAAAGTCTTGTGAATGAATTAACCTCATTAGAGAATCAACGAGGAGGTAATTTGAAGAAAATATTCACTTTCAAAAATATCAAATCCATGTCTATTTCAGTAACACAACAATATGATTTCGTAAATAAAGTTCCTAAGGCTCCCGCTGAATCTAAGCAACAAGCCGAAACTCCACAAGCAACACCAGCCGCAGCAGCAGCAGCAACAACAACTACAACAGAATCTTCTGCTAGTGGTGAGCAATCAAAAGCTAAAGATAAAAAAGAAAAGAAAAAGACAGCTGCCAAAGAAGGTACTATAAAAAATAAAATTATTTTAATATAATATGTGATATTTTCTGTAGAAAAACCAGCAGCTAATACTGCAATCGATATATCACGATTTGATTTACGTGTTGGAAGAATCGTTTTAGTTGAAAAACATCCTGATGCAGATTCTTTATATGTTGAACAAATCGATCTCGGTGAAGAAAAACCACGAACGGTATTTTATTATTAAATAATTGTGTAACAAAATTTGAAATATGTTTTTTCTTCTTCTTTAGGTTTGTAGTGGTCTTGTTAAACATATGCAAACAACTGATGTAAGTTTTAGAAAAATATCTATGAGTTCATAAAAAGAACGAACTATTTTAGCTCGATCAAAAATTAGTTATTGTTTTATGTAATTTGAAACCAGCAAAAATGCGTGGAATTATGTCTGAAGGAAGTAAGTTCGAATAATGAATCTATGTCAAAAGAAAATTTTCGAATGATTATTTTTTCTAGTGGTTATGTGTGCATCAACAGCAGACAAAGTTGAATTTCTTGAGCCACCAAGTGATAGTAAACCCGGTGATCGAATTGAATGTGAAGGTTATGATTGTAAATCACCGGATGCTCAAATAAAAAAAGAATTATCTGATCAAATTTTACCTGATATGAGCACAAATGATAAAGGTGAAGCAACATTCAAAGGAATCTTATGGACAGTAGGCAATGGTAAAAATGTTATTAAATCCAAAAGTCTTGCAAATGTACCTATTAAATGATTTAATCAAGAACATAGGTTTTTTTTTGTTCAACAAGAATGTTTTTCATTCTCTCATCATATTGTTAAACGTTTTTTCCCGATTTAACATAAGAAAAAGTTAATATAAACGAACAGTTTTAAGAGTAAATATATTTTCATTTTCTCTATACATGAAAAAAGAATAAGCGAAGATGATTAATTTTATTATATGATAAACAAGAACAACATATGTTATTAAATTATCTCGAAAGTGGTTTTATATAATTGTTGCAAAGTCACTAGACGATGAATCTATTCGAAATGTAATTTTCACAATCAGTCATTTACTTTATTTATATTAAATAGCGTCCTCTGTTGAAAGAAAAATCAGTAATAATTTTTTTTCTATAACTTCGAACTTTGTTTGATATCTATATGTAATATCTTGCATATGGACTCTTTGATATAATCAATAGATTTATGAAGAGGCAAGGATTCTTGATTAATGGTAGTCATTTTTTTTTCTTCTTTAAGCGTATCTATTTCTGTTTCTTTCTCACATACCCTTCTTTCTCTCTTTCGGTTGGTTTCTTCCTACTTTTTCTTTCTTTTCTTCCAGTCAGCTTACAGTCTTTTCTTCATCTTCATCATTTTCTCTTGGTTTGTTTTGACTGACTTAGTTTATATCTAATTCTCTTCAATTTATCCATGTGACAGCTAGATTTTTTTTTCTACATTTATGCGTCGATTAAATTCACAGTAATTACTTTCCCAATTTCGATTTTTATCTGAATATTAATTATGTAACTTTTTTTTTAAAACATTGTTAAGAAACTATATTATGATGTTTATTTGACTATGAGACAAAAGATAAAAAAAAAGCAATGTCATTCATAAATAGAAGCAATAGTAAAAAAGCCCAAAACATTCGTCTTTTTCTTATATATGGAATGATAAGAGACAACAAACAAATAGAGTAATGGAGCTACTACTGCATCATCGTCGACTCTATTGCGGATGAGTGTTTATTTCTGTCTTTCTCTATATGCTTTCTCTTGCCAACGCTCTTTTGCTTATTTTCGATTAGACAAGACGGACGGGGATGTTGTGTATATGTGCATCCCTTTCTCATACCCCCTTTTTTTTCTTTATCCAACCTAAAAGAAAGAAATAACGACAACGCACATTTTTGCCCTATTCATTCGTATTAATACACAACAAAAAAA